CCTCATACTCTTCCAGCACCGTCTCCACCTGAAGCAGAGGTGGGCCCATCAGAAGGCAGGAGGCCTCTGGTGCCCCACATTCTCCCCAGGTCCCCCCACTTTAACTCCCTCCTCACCTCCCCAAGCTCTGTTCCAAGAGTGAGATACAGAAGCACTCATGGGCTTAGGGACAACTGTCCTGCCCAGGGACCTTCCGTCCTACCCACCCCTCCCCCTACCGTGCTTGGGAGCCCCAACTGGGCATCATGGATTTGGCCTCTGGAACCCCCTCCCCCACCTGTCCGGGCCCACAGCCCTACCTGGGCCCTCAGAAATGCCTCCTGCCCTGGAAACTGGGAATACGTGGATCCGTTGAACAGGATTTCAGCCCTACTCACGATCTGCACCTTCTTCTGCTGCGTCTGCTAGGAGAGGGCAGAGCTGGGGTGCTGGCCGGGGAAGGCTCGGCGTTGGAGAGGTGCTTGGCTCGAGGATGGGCACAGGCACAGCCAGTGCCACCTGAATTGGGGGGGGGCGTGCTGTTGGGCCACACACCTGGCTGACCCAGCCGAAGCTGAGGTTGCCCTTCAGGATGAAGCCAAGCTCCTCCTGGACACCGAAGGAGGGGATGTCACAGCGGAACCTCAGGCAGCCAGCAACGGAGCAGTCCTAGGGACAGAGAAGCAGCATCAGGCCGGGGAAAGATGGACACGCGGTGGAAGCAGTATTGGGCCGTGTGGGGGGCGGGGAGAAGCGTGTCTGAATGGGGGAGGGCTGTCCAGTGGGCGGGATCTGTGTGACATGGTTCTGGAATAAGTTCCTCTGAAGTGTGGCTTCCGGGAGGGACAGCCCAGAGCCCCCCTCACCAGCACGGGGTTCTTCTGCATGTGGGTCAGGAAGTCAGCCACCGTGGGCTCCGTTCTCTCTGCGGAGCACTGAATGGATGTATTCTAGGAAAAGAGGGGGCACAGGCGCCTCAGTGGGGATTCTCGAGGGGCACGGGAGCCCAGGAAGGGGCGCTAGAGGGGAGCCGCACACAGTCCTTGAGTACCTGGGCGTGGATGACCTTCACCTCTGTCCACACTGCCACGTGGTTCAGCTCCACTGGCACCCAAAAGTTAACACTGATGGGCAGGTCCCGGTGTCCCTGGTTGTTCACCTGCACAGAGGTGCTGAGAAAGCCCAAGCCAAAACCCCACCTGCTCCCTAACCTCCACCCCGGGCTGGTGGCCCGAGCCACCACCCAGACTTGCCTCGAATCTGTGCTGGATTGCGCTGCTTTTCTCCTCCTCTGAGGCCGAGAAGTTGAGATATTTGGTGGATTGTTCATGGCTGCGGAGAGAAGAGGTGGGGTGGCTGTGAAGTCCCAGGGGCCTCCTGAGGAGGCCGTGACTGTGCCTGAAGGACAGGTGGTCAGCAAGGTGTGGGGTGGCCTCAGCTGAGGTGGGTGGCTCCCTTGAGGGTAGAACAGTTTAGGGAGCACAGTTGGGCTTCAAGTTGGGTGCAATGTTCCTGTAGAGACGGCCCAAGGACATGACAAGGGTCAGGCAGGGGTGGAAGGAGCTGAGAGCTTGTGATGGGGGTGGGGTGGGGGGTGGGCGCGTGGGGGGGTGCGGGAAACCAGGGCCCGGCCTGCCCCTCTGTACCACAGACTCCCTTTCAGGTTTTCACAGCACAGAAGAATTTGGTGGGCATGTGGGGCACAGCAGAGGTTTGGGGAGACACAGGCTGAGCTGTGGACAAACGCCTACTGGACACTGCCCTCTCTGGTCTCTCACAGGCCTTGGCCAGGGCCATTCTTGCCTGTCTCCTTCGTTTTCCTGGGCCTGAGGCTTGGAGCTGAGAGTGATCAACCTCGCTGAGTCTCAGTGTAAGAGCCTCTGAAGCCTGCTCAGCCCTGTGGCTGGAGACACAGCAGCCAGTCCAGCCCCTTGCTGGGATGGCAGGTCTCACCTCTGTCCACCCCACCCCACCCCACTCCCGGGGTACCTGCCCTTTGTCTGCACAGTCCAAATCCCAAACCACCAGTCTTACTTGAAGTTTCATCCCTCCTTGCAAAGGGATCACCCCCAAATGCCCCAGCCTCATCCTGGGGGCCCTGCGAATGTCACATCCCCAGAGTCACATGTGCAGAGTACAGCTGAGCCACTGAACCACTCTCACCTGCTTGCAGTCCACCCCGCCTGTGGATTTTCTGCCCCGAGGTGTGAAAATCTTAATTTACCACCAACCGCCAGTAAGGCAGTTCAGAGGAGTCCCTCCAACTTTTGGGTACATGCCCAAAAGTGGGGGCAGGAGGAAGACGGCTCAACAAGGCCAGAGGGCGGTACTAGCAGGGGACGGCATGCAGGGAAGGCCTGAGCACCTGCGTCACCTCATGAGGGCACACGCCCCACACGGGAGGGGCTCATGTCAGCGTCTGAAGACTCATAACAGCGGCTCCACAAATCTGTGTCAAATGCCCAGTGAATTCCAGAAAGAAACCACAACACCTGACCCCTCGGCTTCACTCTCGCCGGCTCCTCCTTGGGCACATCGTAAGGCTCCCCCGTGACACCCTGTCTCTGCCCAGACAGGCCTTTTCTCCCTGTCCTTCCCAAAGGGGGCTGAGTAAAGGAGGGAGAGGGATTCTCCGCTGCAGGGCAGAAATCTGTTCCTGGCAATGAAGAATGTTCTTGTCCAAAAGCCAAGGCCCTTTGAAGAAGCACTGCTGGCCCAGCCAATCTGGCCCAGCCAACACCGTGGGGCTTGCAACACTAGGCTGAAGCCCAGGTCCCCTGGAATCTTGCAGAGACACAGGGTACAGCCACAGAGAGGCCCTTGGTGAGATTCTGCGTTGGATCAGGGAACCCTGATTTCCAAGGAAGCAGTAATTCTCAAGACTGGGTGGGTCTCGTATCTCTTAGGGAACCCAGGGATAAACTTGGGTCTTGAGGATGCAATGGTAGTATCAATTATAACAGTCACAGTGGCCCATAATAAATACTGGCTGATCAGCAGGTGCATTAGCAGTGTCATTTGCCAATCGAAAGGTTGGCGATGACACCTAAACATCCCAGATGTTCAGCTGCTGCAGGATGATGCAGCATCACCGTTCCGAAGAACTCTTCCGAGCTCATTGTGTACCTGTTGATGACAGTGTAGACAGCATACTTCACTGGGAGCTCCTTCTGGAAGGTGGTCTTCCTGGTCTGGGGGCTCTTATTCTCACTGAATAAAGAGGAAAAGCCTCACAGGCAAAGGCCTGTAGTTGGGGGAGGATGTGGGTGGGGGTTCTGCCCCCGGACCTGGCCCAGCGCACCTGCTCACATTGGCGCTTAGCAGAAGGTGGTCTCCCAGCATGGCCTTGGGGGAGACGTCAAGGGTAATGATGAAGGTGATCTGGGGAGGGATAGGAAGGACGGGTGGGTCACCGAGGGGTGAGACAGGATGGGGCTGGGGGAGGACGGAAGCCAGCTGACCTGGACACCCTCACGCAGGATGAGGTGGTTGAGGCTGCAGCGGGTGAGCCAGGTGCCCTGGCTCCGGGCCAGGGTGCTGTCACATGTCAGGCGCAGGGAGCGTGAATGCAGCTGGGCCTAGGCAAAGACAGGTGAATGACGGCAGGTGAGCATTTTTAATGCTCCAAAGAGCGTCCTGAAGAGTGAGTGTTTCCTGGAATCATCCTTAAGGTTACATGTAAAACAGATCCTCAGACATGCTCTGGTGACATGGCTTCTGAAAATAGGAAGCCCTGACTTATTACACCTTCTCTCTTTATTATTCACTGTCCTTTTTAAAATGTTTGTTATTATGGAAATTTGCAAACAGACTCAAAGGTAGAGAGGCTAAATAAATCAACCCACATACTCATCACTTAAACAGCCAACACTTTTCTATTCTGATCTTATTCATCTGTTTTCCACTTTTTTAAAAATAGTTTAAAGCACACTCTGAATATCACCTGAATATCCAGAACTACTTCAACGTATTGAACAGATAAGGGTATTATTAAAGAGTTATTCTTTAATATCAGCTAATATGCAGGTCACACTCAGTTTTCTTAGATTGTCTCCCAAAAGTTGTCACAGCTCCCTTGTTAAATCAAGACTCAATAAAGCTCCACAATTTGCATTTGGCTTTCTAGAAGTACCTGAGTTGCCTTCCTATGTCAATAATCAAAATATGCTTCCATTGGGAATTGGGGCCTCGGAGACATATGAGGGAGGGGGATAACCAGACAAATGGGGACCAGAACAGGTGCTGGTTCAAATAAACCAGGTGTAAAGGGAGCCAATTAAGGAAGTTTGATTGTGGTCTAAATACCGAGGACTCACTCATTTCCTCAAGTGTGAGAATGACATTGGGTTGTATAAGACACCCCACTAACCTGAATTATAACCCCAGAGGGGGAGGGTGCAATGACATGACACCTGGCATTTTTTTTAAACCCCTCAATAAGGGAGGAAACAGACGAAATGAATGTGGCTCAATGCTGGTAATTGTTGAGTTCAACAATTAGATTTTTGAGAAGTTTATTGAACTAAACTCTCTTTTGTAAAAGTTTAACAATTTTTATTACAACATGTTGTAAAAAAAACAAAACAAACAAACAAAAACCTGTTTCTCCTTGACTCCCTGGGGCCCTCGTTCTGTCTCCAGGAGCTAGGATTGCCAAACAACAGCCCATATCGGCTTCCGTAAGTGTTACCAGGGCACAGCCAGGCCCCTGCAGACACATACTGTCCATTGCTACCCCACGGCCAGCGCAGAGCTGAGCAGTGATGGACACCACGTGGTCCTGGAAGCTGAAGTAGTTGTCATCAAGCCCTTTTTAGAACAAGTATACTAATTCCCAGTCTGGTGCAGCCAATGAGTTCAACTCATTCTTGAACTGTGCATAGAACAGTTTCAAAAAATTATTTAAAGGCCAAGATATGTTTTCCTTTAAGAAACGAATATGAGCTACAAACAAATTTAAGGCAGGACCTGCCCCCCCCCCCCACATGAGCAGCCACCTGGGAAGTCATTCCTGATTAGCAAAAGTCCTAAAAATGCAGTGGCCAGAAACAAACATAATATAAGTGAGACAAGACCCAGCCAGTACAACCACATCCAGCCAGCCATGAACAGAACAACCTTGCCCAGCCAGCTGTGGGCAGGGTACAGCCAGCCAAGCAAGGGAGCTCCAGCCTGAGAATGAACCCAGGACAGAAGTCAGCGGCTTCTTTCCCCAGAGAGAATACCTGGTCCCCTGTCACACGCCGGTAAGACAGCCCTGCCGGGTAGGAGAAGGTGGCCGTGGTTCCATACAAGTCCTCGCCATCATTCCACACTCTCACTCTCATGCTTAGCTCCAGGTTGCTCCCAACCAACAGGGTGTTCAAGCTATGAGTTGGGGTAGAGAACAGAAGATCTTGGGACAGGGGCTAGAGATGGTCTGGTGTGAGACCACAGTGGGGGTCGGGGGAGACACAGGGGCTGGAGGTGTGGCTTCTGAACACGGCACAGAAATGCCAGGGAGAGGCGGGGTCAGGAGCACCAGGTTCCAGGTGGGGTCTAGGGCCAGGGCAGATGCAAGGGCCTAGAACCTCACCCAGGGAAGTCAAAGGAGATGCCGAGGTCATCCTGGCACACGTGGTCAGCCCCACAGTTCTTCTCAAAGGGGAGCTGAGTGGGAAGGCAAACGAATTTCACTGAGTTCTGGAGCCCATCCCCCGCCCCCGGGAAGATCTGAGCACCAGGACTCACAGAGGTTGTGAAGTATCTCTGCTCATCTACAGCGAGCATTGGCTGGAGGTTTTTGGAGGAAGGGATGGGCTTGCCTTCCAGGGAGAAGATGAGACGCAAGATGATGGGGCTCACCGAGTCTTCCACACAGGTCTAGAGCACAGATGGACACCGAGGAGAGCAGGGGCTGAGGGACACACTTCCCGGTCACTGGGGGCGTCCTGCCTCCTCGTGAAGGGGCGCCCGCAGCGCTCACTGCTCGGGTTCCAGCATCCTCACATTTGCCTGTCGGCCGTCTGACCAGCCCCCTCACCCCTCACCAACTTCACCTGATTCAAGAGGCCTCCCGACTCTCTCTGCTCTCCTCTCTGGCTGGGTCTTTCTTTAAAGAATTCATTGCCACCTGCCATCTGTAATCTAGGGACCTGATTGCTCTTGGTCTCCCCAGAGCTCCCTGTGGGCGCTACTGTTGTGTTCACTGCTGTGTCCCCAGCACCTAGGACAGGTCCTGACAGAGGGGTGGCTCCAGAGGAGAAAGGCAGGTGCGGCCGCACGCCCTCTTTCACTCTCTCTCACTCTCTCTCTCACACTCAGCTAGCACCTGGTGAGCACCTCGTACACCAGATGCTATCCTGGGGTGCCATGGTGAGAACCGGCACCCCCCAATCTTCCTCTGCCCAGTCCACTGCCTCCACCTCGAAGCACCTCACCGGAAGCAGCAACTTCACGGTCTCACAGTGCTGACCCAGTCCGAGGTCCTGGACAAGGGTCAGATTCCGCATCTTTGTCTTCTCAAAAACTGCTCGGGGATTCAGGCGGCCGGGGTCGAGGGTCAAGTCAAAGATCACAGAACTCTGGAGGTCAGCTATAGGGGAACCAAGGCGGTGGGGTCTTGCCGAGAGGGCCAGGAACTCCTCAGGTGAACAAGGGGCAAGGCACCAGATGGGAGCCCTGGCAGGGGTGCTACAGGGGTCAGGGTGTCTCGGGTCTGAGGGGGGAGGACTCACCCAGCTGGTACTTGGAACTTTCATAAATTTTCAGGCAGATGGTGGCTTCACCCAGTTCCCGGACACGGGCTACCTGCTCTTGACACTCAAACACAGCCCTGGAGACCTCTGAAGGGGCAATGTGCATCCTCACCCATGTCCTGAGCACAGGCCTGGTCCTGTGGGCAGAACGCTGCGCTGAGGACAGGCTGTCAGTCCCGGCAGGACAGCCTGTGATGAGGATGGGAACGCTGATGTCCTCGGCCCAGCAAGGCCCACCTGGGGTGTGGCCGAGGAAGGCTGGTCTCACCTGAGCAGCAGGGCGTGCCCCTGGGCCCCCACGGCCAGGTCCACCAGCCCGTCCCTTGTGAGGTCCTGGCCCCCGCTCAGCGACTGCCCGAAGTACTGGAGCCGGGGGGAGAGCTGGGAGCCCGTGATCCGCTGCGGGAGAAGGAGGGCAGTCAGGCCGGGGTGAGGGGAAGGAGTTAGAAGAAGCAGAAGTGGACCAGGGAGGGAAGAACGTGGGAGACATTTCAAAAGACACAACCGGTGGTTTTTAGCATCGTCACCAAATAGTGACATTCCCATCATCTCCAAAAAAAATGCACAGGTGAGGATGCATGTCACACCCCTTAGCGTCACCATGTCCTTCATGTCTCCCCAGCCCCACAACCATTAACCTGCTCTCTGTGTCTACGGTTTACCGGTTCTGGATTCTCCTATAATGGATTCAGGCGCGTGTGCTCGTTTGTGCTTTTCAAGCCCTGAGCAAGATTTCCAGTTTCAGCCACGTAACAGCGCAGATTAGTATTTAATTTGTTACGCTGAATTGAACACTATGGCATGGACAGACCACATCTTACTTGTCTATTCGATGGCTGATGGGCACTTGAGTTGTTTCGGCTTTTATGAATAATGCTGCCTGGAACATTGGTGCACAGCTCTGCAGGAGGAGCTCCGTGCTCAGCACGCTTGGGCGCACACCTAGGAGGGGGACGCTGGCCCCCACAGTGACTCTGTTTGACCCTGGGGAGCTGCCAGACTAGTCTCCAAAGTGGGTTCACCACTCCACATTCCTGCCCGTCATGCCAAATACCCACATCACCAGCAACACTTTGCACGGGCTGCTCTGTGATTCAGGTGCCCCCAGGGAACACAGCGTCGCATGGTGATTTCATGGAGCGTCTTCCTGCGCGTACTGGTCCTCTGATACCATCTCCAGAGAAACGCTGCTTCCGATCCTTTGCCTGCGTCCTAACTGGGGCTTCCTGGACTTTTGCCCACTTTTGGTGGGTGGAGGGCTCCTGCCTAGGTGGGCTTTGGCAGCATCGCTAGCAGGAGGGAAGAGCGTCCAAGAGCATCCGTGCAGGCTGGGCGACGCAGACTGCAGAGCTGCACCTGTGCCGGCTGGAGACAGGGAGCCGGCGACAGCGCCCGGGCTCCAGTGAGACTGGAGCTTGCACGTCCTGCTCCTGTTCTCTAACCTTGGGCAGGCCGCGTCTCTGATGTCTGGGCCCCACATTTCATCTGTAAAATGGACTTGCAAATGACTGGTCTACAATGTCAGAGAGATCCTGGGGGAGTAAAGGACCAGGGTGGAGAGCTCACTCCAGGGTCAGGTCCTCACACAAAGCAGGGGGCTTAACAGTCAGTGTTTCCATTTCTCAAACTCCACATTATGCTTGCTGCCTGCTCTGTCAGGGTTTCCTTTCTTGAAGGAGATAAGATGACGCAAAAAGCAGTTTTCCAGATGGCAGTGTAGAAGACAGGAAGAAGCAAGAGGAGGTTGTTACGGCGACAGAATCTGGGATGCGGCTTCACCTGGCTGTGGGAGGGGCTGATGCGCTGTTCTGAGGTCCCGTGAAACACGTAGACAGCACCCCGATTCTCCTGCTCTCCCGGGGCCCCGATGGCCACATCCGTCAGCTTGTCCCCATTCACGTCCCCCAGCACGGTCAGCGCGGCCCCAAAGCGCGCCCAGGGGTGGCCCCGCTCCCCACGGAGGACAGCCACGCACTGCCAGCTGGCTCGCTGCAGAACAAAACGGAGTCAGGCCCCAACCTGAGCCCCCCACCCCCAGGCCCCACCCAACTCTGGCCCCATCAGCCACTCACCCCTCGGGGCAAGGGGCACACGGACACCTGGCCTCCCCGGGTCTGCTCATAGTAATGGGGGGCCCCGATGAGGACCAGGTCTGTGTTTCTGTCTCCGTCCACGTCCACAGAGCACAGGGAGGCCCCGAAGTAGGAGCCGATCTGGAGGGCGGAGCCTGAAGTCATCCTGCCTGCTCCTACCAGAGCCACCCGCTCTGGGACAGGCCCCCCTCCCCAGCCTCCAGCACCCACCCAGACCTCAAAACCCTTCCCCCCCCCCGCTGCCCCTGCCCACCCTCAGGCTCCCTCCACACCCAACCTGTGTCCCCGTGACTTCAGCTTTCTGTGTCACACTCCATTGCCCTGACACCGGGGTGAAGAGGATGACCTTCCCGGTGTGCTGATAGCGGGGGGCCCCCAGGACCAGGCTCTGCACCCCCTTCCACAGGGCCAGCTCAGTGGAGTAACCTGAGGGGGGCCAGGCCTCATCACAAAAGCTCCCCCGCCACCCCCCAGCTTCATCCCAGGCGGCCCATCTCCCACCTGGGCCCCAGCCCCGGCCTCTTCTCACCCAGGTAAGAGTCCCTCATGTCCACATTCTCCTGAGACATGTTGATGAAGGTGGGACTCATGTTTTTGGGGTACAGCAAGGCACCTCCAGACCAGCTGTAGCTCCCCACTGCCCCCAGAACGGCTCCATCCTGCAAGGAAAGGATTCCAGGGCTGAGCCGGTGGGAGCGAGAAGCAGCCAGCCAGTGCCAGGGAGCTGGCGGCCAGCCAACTCCTCTGGCCCTGCTCTTTCCCTCCTCCCTCTGCTCCACTCCTGCATCAGTGACCCAAAGGACCCCACTCACAGCCATGAGCACGGCACTGAAGCCCTCCTGGGACATCTCCAACTCAAAGGAGCTACTGCTCGTGGTCTGTGTGCCTGGGGGGAGACGTGACTCTGGGCTTGCAGGGGAAAGACAGGCTGAGAAGGACCCCTGACCCCAAAGAGGCCCCTGACTGGTGGCCGCCTGTGACGCGAGGGTCCAAGTTCAGAAGGAAAATCACCCTCAGGAGAGTTTCTGCTGCCAGAGGGCCATCTCGGACTTACCTTCAATGGCAAAGATCTTCTCTTTCAGCTGGTTTTGAATGTCTCTCAAAGCATCAAAATTTTCCACTTTAAATATATGTTCATTGGAAGGCTCCGATGCAATGTTTGTTAGTTCTGTCCAGGAGCTTAGAGCCTGAAAAGCCGATCCCACCTGCAAAGCCCAGCGCAGTGAAGGTAAGTGCAGTCTGTGCAAAGCCGATCCCACCTGCAAAGCCCAGCGCAGTGAAGGTAAGTGCAGTCTGTGCCTGCCGCGCTGGGGCTGACGGCCACGAGGCTCCACAAGGGCCAAAGTGTCAGCCCCTGTGTGCAGACCAGGAAGAGGAGACTCCGCATCGGGGAGCCTCTGGGAAAGGACCCCGGCTGCCCCAGGCTGGAATAGTTTTCATCGTGAAGGGGGAGAAGCTGAGACTCCTGAGTGGGAAGCTGTCTAAAGAGCAAGAGGAGGCAGCCGTAAAGACACCCCCACATCTTACCCCGATGGCATAACGGATGATGCCCAGGGCCTCGGCTCTGGAAATGACGTCATAGTAATCCAGGGGGTCGTTATATTTCTCCCCGTCAGTGATGACGATGAGGACCTTGGAGGCATCCTTCCGGGCCCCCACTGAAGCACGGAACAGTCTGGTTCTGCCAAAGAAGAAGAGGGTCCAGGGGCCTGTGCATAGAGCCCCCCATGGCCCCTGCCGCCTTTGTGATGAGGAGGGGTACCCCTGATGTGGGGGCCCTTGTCCCAAGGCCCCTGCTTGGTGAGCAACCAGAGGTGGAATGTCAGACCCCATTTACCCCTTTCTCATGGAGACAGACAGGGCCCAAAGGAAGGACGATGCTTTGGAGGACCCTGAGAAGTGGGACTCACGTGACCCTCTGTATGGCAGAAGCCGTGTAAGTGGCCCCGCCCTTCTGGTAGACAGAATCCAGCAGGCCCAGTGGGTTTCGGCTGCGCGCGAAATCTCTGAAAGTGAAGTGCTCCTGGAACTTGTTGGAGAACTGCATCAGAGAGAACTGGAGAAGGGTGTGGGGTGGAGGAGGCTGCTTCACCAGAACCCCACCCCTCCCCCAGGCCTGACCAGCAGCCCCCGCAGACCGCCCTTCCGGCCTGGAGGGCCCACCTGGGTCCTGGGTCTCGGGAACTGTCTCATCACAGCCTTCACGAAGTCCAGCATCTTGTGAAAGTCCCTGCGTTTGATGCTGTTTGAGCCATCGATCAGGAACACGATGTCCTGCTCCTGCTTCGGGCACTCTGAGGGCAGGGGATGGCACCATGGAGGGACACCCCCAGAGCCCTAGATTCTAAAGGGACCCCCATCTGGGCTGGGTGATCCAGCAGTGGAAAGACCCTGCCCTAGCCCTTGGCCAGAGTCTGTCCTTCTTGGTCACACCCAGCTGGACTTCTGTTAAATATTTGTAATGTCACCCCAGACACAGCCACAAACTGACCCCTGTGCTCTTCTCAGAATAAAGATGGGCCCCCCTGCCCCCCACCAGCTGACCACAGAAGAGGAGATCCCTGTTCTCAGAGAGGAGATCCCATTACATCTCAGCTTCCCCTTTCTGCCCCAGAAGACTCGTTACAGAGAGAATAGTTCTGGTGTTCTGGCGGGAGCCGAGGTGCCTGTAGGTGAATTCTACTGTCCAGGAGGTGCTGAAAGAGCACCCCATTCAGTGTCCAGGTTTTAGTGTCCCAAGGGCCAAGTGTGGAAGTGAACCAGGGTCTGAAAAACACACTCACCTCCTGATGGCCCATCGCCTCAGGGCCAGGGAGGCCTCACAGCAGGGGGGGCCTCACACCAAGGGGGCCTCAAGCCAGGGGGGCTCACACCAGGAAGCCTCACAGCAGGGGGGCCTCACACCAGGGGGGCTCACATCAGGAGGCCTCAAACCAGGGGGCTCACA